TCAACCCAGCCCCCAACGCGGCGTTGGGCAAGGTAGGAGAGGAGGGGTCCTGGCCCAGCGAGGGAGGAACGGGATCTGACACCGCGGGGCTGCTCGCAGTGTGGAGGCGCGCCTGGGGTTCGGCCGAGAAAATGATGTCGGCGCGACAGCGCTCTAGATCGCTGCCCTGGCACCTCCTGGCAGCCCCGCTGCACATCACTCGCAGTGTGGCTTCGCTCCTGGCAGACATATTGCACTTCCTGCAACGCCATTCAGCACGAGTCGGCAGGCGATAAATCTCGTGCTCTACGAGTGTCAAGTTGATTCGCTCCACGTACTGACTCACGGAAGTCATTGGGGGCTCAAACGTCTTGGAGTACTCCCCAATGATATGGACCGCGCGCGCCAAGAAACCCCAGGTGGCTTTGCTGGCCTTCAAATGGGCCCTCTCCGCGTCCAGACAAACCTGCGCATACTGATGATCCTGGGCTCCAAGGCGCGCAAAAAAATCGGCCCAAGAGTTTCCCAAAAAACGGGTGATCTGTCCTTGCTCCAGAGTCATGACCTCGTCAATGTCTCTGTGGGCGGGGACCCATTCAAACTCAGGCGGAGGCCTATGTTGCTCGAAGAGCTGGAAGATACGACGCCACACATCGGCGTGTCGTGACAACCCGCAGGCCAGCTGGGGACTCCAGCTCCGGCCTTCCTGCACAAAGGCTAAATGATCACTATATATTGTGGTCGCCTGGGGGGCTACCGAGAGAGCCATCAAACCCGCGTACCGCTCCGCACGGGGCACCGACTGGCGCCCAGGGAGCGGCCCAAACACCGCCCTCAAGGGCAGCCCAGAGTCCGACAACTCCACCGCGGCCCATCCACACCTACGCAGTTCAGGGCTCGCGTTCGCAAGCCCCGAGCCGTCAGTGTAGATCCGCCGACCCCAGGGAAGATGCGTAGCCCCCCAGTGGAACACAGGGCACTGCGTGGGTTGGGGCGCTAGCTTGATGGGATGGTAAGGCAACCCGTACAGCTCCAGAGAGTCCCACTCTGGGTCGCCAAGCCCATTGTCCCCAAGACCCCGCAGGTACGCCCTGCGCTCCAAGACCTCCTCAGAAAGGGATTCAACAGGCAGCTCCTCAGGAGGGTGAAGGACCCCTTCACAGTTATACAGCTGGTGCCCTAAAGTGCCAGCCTCAGAACTCTCACACATCTCGCACTGGTGGCTGTCGGAGATCCCAAGGGCCTTCTTTCTCGCTGGGGGCCACAATGCGGAGCCAAGCAATCTGCGGGCGCAGCCTCTGTGTATCGGATTCTTCAAGCTGAGAACTGAGTTGCGAAGTGCACGCCTCCAGACTCCATGGGGATTCCCAACTATAGGATGCATGTGGCTGACAATACGTAGCATCTGCCATCTTCCAATGCTCTGTCGCAGCAACAGCTTCACATCCCACGGCGTAGTGGTAAGAAGGTTCACGAGAGTGCCCTGATCGTCGTATAGCATATGTGCCGACGCCATCTTCCAGTCCACTCTGTGCAGGCTGAGCGACACCGCCGAGAGTGGCCCATTACATCTGGCCCACGTGTATTCACCATTCCAAGATTCCATCATGGCAGCCCACGCCCGCTGTAACTGACTGAGTGGTACCAATCCATCCCAAATTGTGATAGCATATCTGCAGACTAGCTCGGTCGTGACGTCAAATATCGGGTCAAACCATTCATCGCTCTGTGTGGCGAGCCAAGCCGTAAGACTGGCGTGTGCTTTGGCTCCCACCAACGAGCCTGCCAATGTGCGGAGCTTTGCCAGCGTGGCAGGGACGACTCCGCTGGCTCCAGCTCCATGTGCAGCCGCGGGCAGGAGGCCCGTGCGCCACAGAGTGTGAACCTGGGCTCGCCCCCGTTGCAGCGCCGCCAGCTTGCCCCTCCTGGCCAGGACGCCCATGACACGCTTTCTCTCTTGAATACGTTTGAGTCGCACCCCCGCCAGCTCGTGTCCTAGATTGCGCATGTGCTTGTGGCAGCGAAACCGAATGAGTCCACCAAGCTTCTTCGCCACTCGTGTCGCCTCAGTAGTGCCACCCACGCAACCACTTTTGTCTACCTGAATGATGAGACCCAGTGGCTGCACCTGGCGAATAAACCATCGTACTGCATGAAATAGGACGACTGCCTGGGAGGGTTCTGCCCCAATCCATTGAAAGCTGACGTCATCCATCAAAGCCCGTGGCACCACATCCGCATACCTCCTGCGTAGGGCCTCCAAGGACTGGCAGAGAAGCAGGTGGACCATGGCGCAGGCGTGAGAGCATCCCGCCAGTATGCCCTGCGCGGAGGTGAACTTGGTGGACAGTGACCCGTAGGCTCGCACCTGCCGTGGTGCCTGATATGTGTGAATAAGCATCCAAAGTAATCTCATCGGAAATTGCATCTTACAAGCTCTGTCCAGCAGCGCAGTATATCGTATCGTCTCGAAACATTTGTACATGTCAATAAGTGCACTGACCGTGTGCATGCCGTTGAGCTTCGCCGTCTCTGCTGCTATGTTGTGCTGAAACGCGGCATCGGTAGACGACGCACCAGGCCTCGTGCCCCAGAAAGCGGTAGAAGGGTTGGCGAGCTCCCACCGCTTAGATATCCTTCGTCGTAATCGGCTCCAAATACGGACCACAGTATTGATGAGCGCGATGAGGCGGTGGCCCCCTGTGGGCTTGGGAAGCCTCACTAGCACCGTGGTGACCCTCTGTGTCGGCCAACACGCCAACCTCTCGCATTTGTGAAATAGAGATGCAAGGACACCCAATCCCATGTCCGATACTTGGGTCAATGCACGGGGTTGAATCGATACCTGCCCAAGCGCCGTAGTGGCTTTGGAACGTCTGAGGGTGTTGCGAATGTCATCGATTGTGATCTCAGGTAACTCCTCCCAATCTGCTTGACCTGCCGGTGTGGCGACCGCTGTATCCTCATGAATGGTCCAGACACCTTTCCAGAACTCCAAGCATTCGTCAGCCATGTGGTGCGGTTGGCCACGGTCCTTCTCGGCATACTGTAACGTCTCTTGTAGCTCGCGCACTCTAGTGTACCTGTGCGCTTTGCCAGCCCCATTCTGAAACGCCTGCTTGGCCCACTGCGCCCATTCAATGCCAGCAAACTTGCGTATGGCCTCCGTCACGCGATTCACCTTGTCCAGGGCTCGGTCGATCCTGTCAAGGAAGTCAGGCTCATAAAACGTGTCGTGCAGATTGTGGAGCTGGATACGGTCTTCATAATCAAGCAGCGGCCCAACCCAGTCAGCACGTGCAACCCGCGCGAAGAAACCCTGAAGGTCCCGACTGAGTTGCGCGAACAACCGCTGCTCCTTCGCCAGACCTTGGTCATGATTACCCAGGTCGTTGACGTACTGCCCGTGCTGGCCGTAAATGTCTGGCAGTAGTCTTGCAGGAAAACGGTTCGCATCTGCTTCCTCCATTGTGCGCTGGAGGGCCGTGAGCATTCGTGTGTGTGTGGACCGCAGATGCCGACACCATTTGCCATACTGCTGGTAGGCGCTCAGCCGCTTAGGCCTCGGTGGTACGATGGCCTGTACTCGTTTCCATACCCATTGGTCTGGTCCAGCACGTCCGTGATGAAGTCCCCGCTGCGTCATGTCCATTATGTCATTGCGGTTGAGGATCTCATGTTCCATCGTGGCAATAACCCCATCCCACGCAGCAGCCAAGGTCACACCGTCAGAAGCTTGATCGATGAGCTGCTTCACGCGTGCCCATTGCCTTGCAGGTGGGAACCTGGCACAACCCACCTTCGGCACCGTCGGGAGAGGTCGAGGTGTAACAGGGACGCGTGCCCACTGCTCATGTGCGCAGTACTGGAACCCCAACTGCACAGGCTGATGCGGGAAAGTCGCTGCCACTCCGACTTCGCATCCGCGAATCCAATCGACCAAGACAGCAGAGACGCAGAAATAATCCCTAATAGTGCCAGGTTGCGTGGCATTGCATGTGGGTTGGGCTGGGACCTGCTGAACTCCGTGTACCGAGTGCATCCAATCCAGTGTGCTCGCTGGGTCCATGTTCCAGTCACCTGCCACAATCCATGGCTGTCCCAAACCATTGAGCGCCTCCAGGTATTGAGCCAGCGTGGTAAGCAGATCCATGTTCTCTTGATTGAGGCCCACCGAGTCGACTAAGTAGATGGAGACCAGCACTGTGCCTCCCCGTGGTCCCCAGCTGGCGTGCCCAACCGTGATTCGGCCTGGCGCGAGAGTCGGTGATGTTAACAGAGGCCCCATTCCAAGCCTCACATGCTTCGGTGCAAGTATAGCGCATCCGCCGCAAGTACCGCCTCGGCCCGTGGGTGCAGCCGCAGTCCATACACCATGAAAACCGTGATGGCGCGCTGTATTCTGGAGCTCAGGGAGTCGCTGCTCATCGCCGTGATGCTCCTGCAGGCAGAGAATAGACTTGTGGCTGCAGGGCGCACTCAAGACTCCCACCATAGCTCCATGAGACGTAAGGTTGGAGGTGAGGACCTGGTTCGCGCTGGAGCCATTGGCATGCACCCCCTCGACCGAGCACACGACCAGGGCGATACAAAACCCCCGATAACGGCCAGGGCGGAAGCGACGAGTGCGGCCCCATGTTACGGGACCGCCCGCACGTTCCTGCAGCGCACACGGCGTAGCAGGAGTAGCAGCACATCGTGAGCTTGTGCGACGGCTAGCGGCAGAGGTGCTGGGTCCCGTTGGCTCCCGAGGCGCGGACCTTGGGGAAGGTCGGACGACATTAAAGCCCGCATCCGCGCGGCTACCAAGGGAGCCCGTCGACAGCACTTGCCCTAGCCGTCCGCTGTGGTACCCTATCTTCAGCAGGATGTCGTAATTGAGGTTGATGGCCGTCCAGACCTTCACCAACCAGAAGACTAACACGAACTTTACCAGGTAGGAGAGGACGAAAACCGCTTTGTCCAGCACCACATTTATTCTGTCATGAACTTCAGGCTTGACCCGTGCGTTGACGTTCGGCCTGAAGTGTCTCCATCGCGGTGGCCATCCGCTTGATGGCCTCCCTGACCAGCGCCTCCTCCTGCGGAGGGTCCTCGCCCGTGGCGTTGCGCAGAAACTCCCGCAGCTCGTCCAGGTCGTCGGTGTCCATGGGAACAGGCCTGTCTTGCGCCGCCTGCTGCTGTCCCTCCGTCGGCATGTTTGCAGGTCCGCTGGGTGACGCTGCGCTGGAGCTGTCTCCTTCAGGATGCCCAGGTGCTGGCGCTGCGTCCGACCCTGCTGCCGCTGCCTTGTCCGCCAGCGCTCGCAGCTGGCTGAAGACCGTGGCCACCGACTGCGCCAGCTGGTCGTCCGCGCCCAGGCCCTGGAGCATCTCGCCCATCTTCTCGACCGAAATGTCGACCGCGGGCACGAGCGTGCGCAGGGAGCACTCACCAGGTGCGGCCGTAGGTGCCTTGGCCGAGACTTTCCAGCGCAGCGCCTCCAGCTCCTGCACCTCGGCCGTGATCTCAGCGATCTGGCCCTCCGTCTCGGTAATCCTGTCGTCCAGGCGCTGGCGCTGCTCCTGCAGGTCCTGCAGCGCGGCCTGGCGCTTGTCCTTCGCCTGCACGAGCGCATCGATGCGGGTGGTATAGTGGTGGAGCTGGCCCGCGAATGGCTTCGCTTCGACGATACGCAGCTTGATGGCCTCCCGCTCCTTGGACAGGGCCTCCCGCGCGCCCATGATGGCTGGGTCTGTGCTTGAGCCCAAGGCACGGAGGAGCGAAGCAATCTCTGCAAGCCGTCCCTGGGGGTCTTCGGCATCATTGGCGCCCTCGTCCACCGCAGGGGCGCTGGCCGCCTTGAGCTGTGCCTTGAGCTGTGCGATCTCTCGGTCCTTGGCCGCCACATCTGACCACGGCCGCACACTGTCTCCTTTGCGACGCACACTGGTCGTGGCTGGCCTCTGTGTTGGCGGGCCGTCGGTGGGCTTGGGGCCTCCAAAGCTGGCCCCCTTAGCAACTCGACAGCTGGTACATTGCTGGCAATCTCCCCGATTCCACCACTTGGCCCCTGTGCGCGGGTGCGTACACCAGCGGCAGAGCCAGGGGGCGGCCCAGGTCCTGCGATCCGAGACGGCTGCGGTCTTGTTCGCGGCAGCGGCATACGAAGAGGAACCATTAGCCATGGAACGCGGGAAGAGGTGTGAGCAATACAGCGGTACTGTCTCGAGGATGTGTCGAGGATGTGCCTGGCGACGACAGGCGAAAGCAGTTGGGGGCCGTGAATTCCCCCACGCCACTCGTCAAGCCCTGAGCCTCACGCTACGGACTTGAGCCAAAATGGCTACGGAGGAGGGGAGGAGGAGGAGGAGGAGGAGGAGGAAGAGGAGGAGGAGGAGGAGAATGAGGAGGAGGGGGAGGAGGACGGGAGAGAGGGACGAGGACCTTGACCTCCAATGTCCTGAGAAAGCCGAAGCAGTTTCCCCCCCGACACTGCGAGGGGGCTCCCGTTGTGCAGTGTCCTGGGGGGGTCTGGGGGGGCCCCTCGAAAACTAGCCTGGGCCACGGCGGAGCGCCGGCGGAACCTGGCGGAAGTCCTGCGGCACGAGGCTTGAGGCGACACGGGCGGCCTCAGAAGGCCCCTAGAGAGAGCCCGAGACGATTCAGGATCGCCTCCAAGACGCTGCCGACAAAGATCACCCAAGATAGCCGCAAGGTGGCCCAGGACGGCCTCGAGAAAGCCTAAGAAGCCCAACGAAATCGCCCATGAGGGCTCCCACAGGACCTCCAGGAGGGCCTCCAAAGGCTTAAGCCTCAGATTTTCAACAGGTTTTCAACGGAGCTTGAAATCCTCGAGTTCCCGGGCTGCCGACTGTCCACGAAGGAATGCCCTGGAGGCCTCCGAGATTCCTCCAAGCTGGCCCCAAGATTGCCCCACGACTGTCCCAGACAGGCTGCCGACTGTCCGCGGGCCCCGAGGCGGCCCCAGAGGGCCCAAGAGGTCCCTCAGAGCGTCCCGGAAAGCCCCAAGAGGACCTCGAGGCGGCCCTCAGAGGCCCCCTATGAAGCCCCCTTAAGAGGCGCTTAACCCCCCGCACATACGCTCCCAAGAGGCCCCCAAAGAGGCCTCCAGGACGCCCACCACGCCCGTACTTTGCACGTTCCGCGCGCGCACCCCGCAGAGCGAGCGGAATCCCCAGGAGGCCCCTCGGAGAGCACGCGAGCTTCCGAGAGGCGGCTTTCAGGGGCGGCCCCAGACGCCCGACAAGGCTTTCCTGGGGAAGGGGGAGGCGGTGGCAAGCCACCCCTGGGGAAGGGGGAGGCGGTGGCAGACCCCGAGCGCGTTGCGCGCGCGCGCGGGCGCGCGAGGGCGTCGCCGTCGTCGCAGTCGTCGTCGTCGTCGCCGCCGTCGCCTTCGCCGCCGCCGCCGCCGCCGCCGCCGCCGTCGTCGTCGTCGTCGTCGTCGGCGTCGGCGTCGGCGTCGGCGTCGGCGTCGGCGTCGGCGGCGTCGGCGTCGGCGTCGGCGTCGGCGTCGGCGTCGGCGTCGTCGTGCGTCGTGCGTCGTGCGTCGTGCGTCGTGCGTCGTGCGTCGTGCGTCGTGCGTCGTGCGTCGGGTGTCGTGTGTCGGGTGTAGCGTTTCGTGGTTGGTCGTCGTCGTCGTCGTCGTCGGTGTTGTCTCCGCCGTCGTGCGTCTTCTGTCGTCCGTCGTTTACCGTCGTAGTCGCCGTCGTCCAGCGTCGACGCCGCCGTCGTCGTCAACCGACGCCGCCGCCGCAGCCGCCGCCGCCGCCGCCGCCGTCGTCGTCGTCGTCGTCGTCGTCGTCGTCGTCGTCGTTCGACGTCGTCAGTCGAAAGTTCTTTGGGCGCTTCTGGCGGCTCTCGACGCCACGGCGAGACGCAGCTCGAAAAACTGGCCGGGATGGACCCCCAGAAGGGGTCTAGAGGCCGAGGTGGAGCGGATTCTTGTCGTCGTCGGTCTTCGTCGCCGCCGCCGTCGCCGAAAAGCCGTCGAGGGCCGCCCCAAAGCCGCAGAGGGCCGCCGAAGGCCGCCAAAGGGCCGCCGAGAGGAGCTGGCAACTTGATTGAGCATATCGGGAGCCCACTTATCAGGGGGACGTAAGACCTGGGTACAGGGGACTCGGAAATCCCCGACGAGCTCGTCAAAAAAATTACGAGGCCGAGCCTGTATTTTGACGAGGCCTCCCGCTGCAGACATCCCACGAAACTCCTCCTCGTCAAAATCCGAGGCGCGGTCGTCAAAAAACGATGGCGAACCCGAGTCCTGGCAAACCCGGGCCTTACGCTCCCCCGAACTTAGCAAATCGGGAGCCCACTTAGCAGAACAGAGGCCCACTCAGCAGGAGCACGACTCTGTTGAACATTCCCCCCTGCCGAGGGACAGGCCCGACCCCGTGGCAGCACGACGACCGCGCCCCGGTGCGGCGGCCCTGCCGCGCGCCCGTGCTGCCCCGGCCCTCCCCGTCGCAGCCGCACTGCGGGAGAGGGGGGGCGGGGCCGCCCCCGGGCATGCGCCGCCCGCGGGGTCCGCGAAAACGGCGACCCCCTCCCCAAGTCGGGCCTGTCCCCCTGCAGGCCGATCTTGAGCGCAAAATTAGACATGCCAAGAACAGGCATTTAAAATGCTCAAAAATTGTCAAAAAAGAGTCCCCAGACTATATTTTGACTATTGGTGAATATTCCCCCTGTAGAGGGACAGGCCCGACTTAACCCCAGAACCGGCTTTTCGCCCCGAATGGTCATTTGACGGCCTGGGGCCCGGCGAAGGCCGCCCGGAGGCCGACCACGGCCAAAAACCTCGCGTCGGGATTCTGCTTCCACGACGCGAGCGTGCCTGAGGAGCTGCTCGCCCACCCCGGGCGCGCCCTCTGACCTACCAACTGCTTGCTGGTGCCACTGGCTCGCCAACCCCCTGGGGCACCTCGATTCCGCCCATCTTCATTCGATTCCGCCCATCTTCATTCGATTCCCGTCATCGGAAGATGTGCGAATGGAGCAGCTAAGGCAGGAGGGCGAGATGCAAATGACCACCTTCGATCCCGTTGTTCTATCGAGCTTCTCATCAACGATGCCATTCACCGCGAACGAGAGCGGGACGCAGCCCTCCAACTGGATGAATTCCTGAGTTGCGAATCAAGTAATGAATGGCCATGGGTAAGGGCGACGGAGAGGCAATGGGGATGCTACTGTCCAGGAAGAGGGATAGAGAGAGAGAGAGAGAGAAAGAGAGACAAAAAACATAGACATAACACAACACATAATCGGGCATGCACATAATCATGTTTATCCTCCGCCGTGCCTTGCGCACGTTGAGGCGTGGAAGAATGCCAAGGGCTGTCTAGCAATGCAATTGTACTCTAACAAGGGGCGTGCCCTCCCCCGTAGAAAAATGATCTGCACGCACCGCCCAAATCTCGCGGCCACGACCCCTCGTAAAAACAATGGATCCGCGCTCCAAATGCCACGACCCCTGGTAGAAAACTATGGATCCGTGTCCCGAGCTTCCAAACGGCCTATGCACGCAACCAAGGACACCAAGATGGCCAAGATGCCAAGATGGTCTCAGGGCGGCCCAGTATGGCACCTCAAGGCGGCCCAATGTGTCTCCAAGAGAGCCCAAAAGGGCCACAGAAGGTCAAGGGGTTCCAATATGGCCCGCAGAAGCCAAACTCAGTGATTCCAGTGTGTGTCTGAATGAATTTCGCATTCTCGCCGTTTCGGGCTTCCGTCAGCGCAAATACGGCCCAAGAGGCTTCCACGCTGGCCCCAGGACGGCCCACGAGGTCCCCAAGAGGGTCCAAAGATGGCCTAAGAGGCCCCATGCTGCGCCAAGAGGCATCCAAGACGCCCTCAAGGCGGCCCACGAGGGACTCCCGAGCGATCCAAGACGGCTTTACCAAACGCTTCGACAGCCTAAGACGACCCCACGGCGGCCCCCAGGCACCCACTATACGGCCAAGACGGCCTCAAGATGACGCCACCAGAACATCAAGACTGCGTCGGAGGGCCCCAAGACCGCCAAAGAGGGCCCCGAAGGACCCTCAAGGCTGCCTCACAGGAGGCCAAGGCAGCCCTCAGACGGGCCGAACGAGTTCCATGAGAGCTCATCAAACAATGTGTCACATGTGTCGGCCATCCTCTTCCTCCTCCTCCTCTTCCTCCTGCAACTGCTGCTCATGCTCCTTCTTCTCCTCCTCCTCCTCCGCATCATCATCAGCATCATCGGCTTCAACACCACCACCATCGTCCACATCATCATCCTCATCCCAACATACATCAAACCACATCATCAGCATACACATCAACATCATTATGACCACCTCGGCATCAACATCAACATCACCATCATCGTCATCATCATCACCATCACCATCACCATCACCATCACCATCACCATCATCATCATCATCATCATCATCATCATCATCATCATCATCATCATCATCATCATCATCATCATCATCATCATCATCGCCATCACCATCCTTGTCATCACGGCCCTCTCACCCTCGAACCGCCGCCCAGAGAACTGGGCTGGCAGCCGGCACGCCGGCGGGACTTGCCGCAAGTAGCTGCACATGCACGCACATACACACATACGTATGTACACACACCCACTCACGCACATATACAAGGGAGAGAAAGAGAGAGAGAGAGAGAGAGAGAGACAACGAAAAAAAGAGAAGAGATCTTCAGGAAAGAAAACACATCCGGGAACCACGTGTCACAAACACAAACAATAGGTTCCCTTGCACATCCGCGAACCACAAATTCGCTGTACAAAAAGGTTCGGATCTGGAATAGTAAGCCATGGAGACCGGTTGAATCTTCGCTCAAGAAACACTTCGGAACGTTGGGGGGCAGGCGTTCTCGTGCGCACGGTTCGTTTTCACTGAATCAGTTCTCGTGGCGGACATCGTGCCATTGAGCGTTGGACACGCTAGTTTCGCCGATCATGCGTTCCCTACGGCGCGCCTGACAACGAAATTGCTACATCACCTCACACGTCTGCAATATAAATTGACAACTGCGGCTGCGGAATTGTTACCACGCGGTTGATGCTTTAGCGCGTCGGTACGAGTCCAACCGAATGCGATGAAGGGGGACAGAATCGCAAATCATATGTGTCGGCTCAGCTAAGTACAAGCAACAATATGTCGTGCCGGCGACCATCCCAACACAACATTCGTAATCTAATCCTTGGCGACGGTGCCGTCAGTGTCCACCCATTTCAAATATCCCGGGATCTTCATCTGCCCGTCGGCATCAACGCACTTAATGCTCATGCCGACTGTCATGCACAACGAGGTCTGGACCTGGGGCGAGGCAGTAGTCCGGAACAGAAAGCATGTTCGGTTGACGGATGCTGGATAGACGCTGGGGAAGCAAGTGGGCTACGCGCCGCCTCCACACTCTATACAGGGAAACTTCAACAATTAATAAAGAAAACCAAATAATGAGAAGATCAATCAGCTGGAACGGAAGGGCGCGAACAATGTACAACATCATTCCCATGACGTCTCGCGCTGAACATTCCGATCTCGTTTAAACAGAACGGGTCAGTGGCACTCGTGTCCCTCCAGTCACACTCCTCGATCCACCCCTGCTCCTAATGGAATCGCCGATAGTGCGACAGTGCTCCACCCTCCAAGGTTAATCGAGAGACCCCCTGGTGTCATATGGTTCGGCCTTCTGGGTGATGCTCGAAGCAACGCAACAGAAAGCTGCTGGAACTTGCCGCAGGTGGCTGGTTACAACTCTTCCCAGGAGGATTACCAAGGCAAAAACTCAATCTGAAATGCGGCCAATTCGCGCAACCGTCTTCGCCCGGTTCACTGCACCCCCCCGCGGACATGTGCTGCTCACTCCTCCCAATCGCTCACTTGAAAATCACCCTTCTCAACCTCCCGCTGGCAATCCGTCAATATGTACGCTATGCCTGTGAGATAGATAGTCAGACAATATGAAGGCAAGGTAAACCCAGACCAACCTTGTTGACAGTGACTACATTCATCTGATCTTTCTTGAGGGTGTCCACTACATGGAGCTCCCCACCGTTGAGCATCTGCATCACGAATTCAACCTGCATGCAACGTTTCTCTTGCCCCGCAGCAGAAATAGAGGCCTCCTAGATGTGGTCGGAAGATCTCACCGCATCGCCGATACATCGGCGATGCATCGCCGATGCATCGGCCATGCACTGGCGACGTCGGCGATATTTCCGCGACTTCGGCGTGGAGCAAATCGGGCCCCACATCGAGTCGCATCGCCGATGCATCGGCGATGCATCGGCGATGCGGCGAGATCTTTCGACCCCATCTACTCCGACCCCATCTAGGAGGCCTAGAAGAAAGAGGCGAAGAGATGGGACGATCAGGAAGACGAGCGGGACGAGAGGAAGGAGGAGGAGGCAGGCAAGGGAAGCGGAGGCGCAGCGGGAGGGGTGGCCCTCGAAGGCTCTGAGATTCGGGATGGGGTCACACGGCCTTGCCCGCAGACATGAAGGGACGATATTTCTGGGTTTTTGTCTTCCCCACCACTTCCCATATTTTCCCATATTTTCTGGGGAGTCGACGATTAATTGTGTCTGTGTGTTTTTTCCCCTCCTGAAGACAGGCGGGCGGGCGTGCCCTGACGGGCCCGTGGGGTGGCCGGGGCGGGCGGGCGAGCGTGGAGGGTCCGAGCACGGAGAGAGGTGCACGACGACAGCGGCCAAGACAGCGACGACAAAGAAGACCGGCGGGCTCAGCAGGGGATGGCCCAGGCGAGCAGACCGAGCACGACGACGAAGAGCACAATAATCAAAATGTCGGCGACTACGGCGAATTCGCCAGGGAGGGCGAGGACGACGAGGGTGACGACCACAACGAGCAGACCAATAGTAAGTGCCGAAGGGGTCCAGGCCAAAGCGGGACGGCCGACGCGGCCTTGACCGAGGCGGGCCGTCCCACGGGAAGGACGACAAGGGAAGAATTACTCGGGCGACTGCGAACCAAGACGGGCGGGGCCAAAACAGCCCGCCTGAATCGGGCTGGGCGTAAACGGGCCGAGCCGAAGCGGGCCGAGCCGAAGCCAGCCAGGCCGAAACTGGCCTCGGCCGAACTGGGTCAGACGGAAGCGGCTACAGGGGGAAGAAAACATGGTCCGAAGAGGGCAGGATAACTAACTGCACGTGAAGAAAAGGCCACGCAGCCGCACACCTTGCCCTCCTTCAATTGGAAGAAGAAGGCGCCACCGCTGTCTAGGATGATCTCCTGAGCTGTGGGGGGGGGCGTCAGGTCGAAATGATCCAAGGTATCGTGAACCTCTTGAGTAAACGAAGTAAATGATCCAAAGTCTCGCGACATGCTATTGTTTCCAACTGACCAGGGTCTGTTCTGGAGAAACAAACAAAATGCGGATGGGGAAGCAGGATGTGAAACCACCCGTGGACAATCAAGAGGACCAATGGCATGAGTCATGAACAACGGGGAGAAGAACATGACATCACCAACGCGCATTTCAAAAGGGTATGTGCTGATATAGCCAACGAACAAACACACTGCCTCTGGGAAACCAAGCCTGGCGATGGCGAGGGGAACCGCGTCAGTTGGCCAACCGGGGCCTCATCCGGCAGATCCATTGCCGCCGTCCTGCTGCTCCTCCCCCAACGCTCATGTATCAATTAACGGGCGAAGAACGGTATAAAATAAACTTTTTCGCCGTCGGGGGCGCCTGCCACTGGGCGGCTGGAAAATTTATACCCTTACGGTGGCACCGTAGGCCACCTGCCTGACGGGCCCGCGGGCAGCGTTGGCGCTGGCCTTCGCGGAGGCGCTGGCCGCCGCTGAGGCTGGAAGGGCGATGACGGGGATTTCGCGCAAGGCTCGCGCGACCTCTGGGGTCTCACGTGTACACCTGCACGAGAGACAACAAAAACACGTGCCTCCTCCTGCTTCTCCTCTGCCTCCCTTGCCTCCTCCTCCTCCTCCTCGTCCTCCTCATCCTTCCCCTCCCTCCTCCTCCCTCCTCCTCCTCCTTCCTTCCTCTCCCCCCCCGACTCCTCCTCCTACTCCTCCTCCGCCTCCTACACCCTACACTCCCCGCTCGTTTTCATATTCGTCGTCTCCAAGGTCGGCAGCACCGGCCGTAAAGCCTTCGCAATACGTGCTTCCGCCATTGACCCCGCGCTGTCGCCACAGACGCAACGTGAAAAAGCGCCTCTGCGAAAAGGATGGGTCGAATGCGCTGCGGCCTCGCCGTACAAAACCGGCTCCCAGTGTATTGCCCGCGAGATTCGGTGTTGGATTTGCGCGCTGAGGGCTAGTACTGGGCGCGATGCCGCGGTCGAGACGCCTGGAGCGGAGTCAGAAGACAGCTCGCCGCTTGGGCCCCACCGCCAGCCAAAACGGCGAGCATACAGCGGGCGTAGCCCCGCACGCATTTGCATTCCCACGCTTCGTCCTCGTACTACTCGCGGGCCTCCAGCACGGTGAGTGCGTTGACGGCGTCCTGGTCGTACCAGGAGCACACATAGGTTGCACCCTCGGCCGCCGAGAATAAAGCCGTCTCCAATCGGTTGCACCATAGGTTGCGCCCTCAGCCGCCGAGAATAACACCGTCTCCTAGCGGTTGCGCCATAGGTTGCGCCCTCGGCCGCCAAGAGTAAATACGTCTCCTACCGGTTGCGCCATAGGTTGTGTCCTCTGCGGCCGAGCAATTTCCTCTTTTGGTTGCGCCATAAATTGCGCCCTCGGCCGCCGAGAATAGCACCGTCTCCTATCGTTCGCGCCATAGGTTGCCCCCCCTGGGGCCGAAACAAAAACCGTCTCCTATCGGTTGCGCCATAAGTTGGGCCCTGGGCGGCCGAGAACAAAACCGTCCCCGAACCGTTGCGCCATAGGTTGCGCCCTCGGCGGCCGAGGGTAAAACCATCTCCTATTGGTTGCGCCATAAGTGGCGCCCTCGGCCACGGAGAAGCAAACCGTCTCCTCTCGGTTGCGCCATGGGTTGGGCCCTGGGCGGCCGAGAATACAACCGTCTCCTATCGGCTGCATTATAGGTTGCGCCCTCGTCCGCGGAGAATAAAACCGTTTCCTATCGGTTGCGCCATAGTTTGCGCCCTCGGCAGCCAATAGCGAAACCGTTTCCTATCTGTTGCGCAATAGGTTGCACCCTCGGCGGCCGAGAATCAAACCTCCTTTCGGTTGCGCCACACCGTCTCCTGTAGGTTGCACCATAGGTTGCGCCCTTTGCCGCCGAGAATAAAGCCGTCGCGTAACGAGTGCGACCAGTCTGTTCAGTTCAGTTCAGTTCGGGTCAGTTTGCTTCAGTGCAGTCCAGTCCAATTTACCTCGCGAGAAACACATACGGGTTACGCCCGAAACCACTGCTTCGCAGCGTCTCCCTGCTAGCGATGATGGCGAGAAGCCGCCAGTAGATTTCGGAGGCTCGCACGGCAACATCGCGAAACGACTTTCCACGCGGGCCCAATAATGTCATGCTTTTGAAACGAAGTGCTCCGCGCGAGGTGTTCAAGTTTCGCGCGCCCTATGCGTGGGTCTATTAAGAGCTATGCTGGGTACGCGCTGGGCCTGTTTGAGATCCATGTTGGGTCCTCGATGGCTTGGGCTTGGATCGTGTCCGATAAAAGGGGGCTACTCGGATGGCGCGGATGCTGATGGCGATGGCGGTGACGAGGACTGTGATCATCCCGTGACCACCAAGATGACGGTGGCCTGACCACCAAGATGACGGTGGCCTCTAGCATCAGGGTCCGAGCAAGACGCGCGCCGTCACCGGCGAAAAAGCGCAGCCCGAGAGGAGAGGCCGCCGCGGAGCCCGGCGGCGGCGGCGGCACGAGCTCGAGGCCCGAGCTGCCCACGGATACGCGGACGTCGGCGGGCGGCCGCCGCTCCAGCTGCGCTTGCGCCGGCCTGGAGCTCCAGGCCGCGGCCTCTCGGGGATGGACAGACCCCCCTTTAGTAAAACGTGGTTTAGTGAAAACGACCTGAGGCCCAAACCTGGCGGGCACAAGGATGGAAAATAACGGCCACGGCGCCCTCTCGAGAACCGAAAACGGACAATTCACTAATCGACGTGTCACTGTTGGGGGTTCTGTCCAGCCCGAGCCTGGGGCCTCCACGCATCCGCCCGCCGGGCGTCGCCTGCAACAGAGGAGGCCACGGCGCCGCCGCGGCGCGCAGGGGCGGCCCCCGATCGGTTGCCTCGACGCACCCTCGCTGGCCCCTGCCGGTGCCCTCGCCGTGCACCGCCGAGGCCTCTTCGAGAGGCTCGATGCTCCGCAACTTTCGGTCTCGTGGGGGCCCTCACCAGGCCCCAGGACTGTCAGACGAACGACTCGGGATGCCGAGCCAGCCCTGGGGAAAGGGTCGGGACTTCGACAGACCACGCAGTGAAAAACTCGAGACCCTGAGATCCGGCGTTGCGAAACAGCTGCAACATCGCGGAAGCACACGAGCAGAGCCCTCGACCAACGCCCGGATCTCAGCTGATTTCAGATGCTTGTCGCCAGCGGAGCTCACTTCACCGTTGAACGCCCGCGGCGGGGTCGCCGCTGGATGATGCGGCGCGGACCTACCGTAACCACACCCGCTGTGGCCCCCGAGTCTGGGTCTTGCACCGTTGCACCCGACCCAGAGTTCCAGTAAGAGCTCGACTACAAGATTGACCTCCCTCAAAAACGGAGCTCGCCGAATCCACATACCTTCCGCAGATCCGACGCACCTTCCAACTCCGCCGCGACCCGTTCTGCAATCGATCTCCCGGTCGGACTGCGGCCGCCGAGCCTGGGTCGTGCACGGTGGCACCGGGCCCAGGCCCTGCTGGGCCTGGCCAGAGCCAGTGCGGGTCGGGCGTTGGCAGAACTGGGTTCCGTGGAACCTGGTTTAGTGATTTGTGCCAGGGGCGCCCCCCCCGTCCCTTTTCCACCAACCGGAACTGCCGTCACCCGACAAACACCGGTCACGGCAAACCTGGCTTAGTGAACCTGGCCAATTGAAGGGCCCCAAGGCCCTACCACCACCCGGGCCCCCTTACTTACCCGGGGTCCTGGCTATGATACCCGAGCGGGGGTGTCGCCATGGGCGGCGTGCCCCGCGAGGTGGCGGCGGCTCTGCAACAAAAACGGCCCGCGGCCTCCCCTCGGAGGGGCGCGCCGCTCCTCGGCGGGGTTTCTGTTGCGCCCGTGGGGAGGCGCGCCCCCGTGTGCGGCCCCGCCCCTCGGCAAGGGGGAGGGGCCTCGGGCCCCTGCCACACAGCCCAGGCGCTGGAAGGAGGACCACCTTTTGGGGCTCTGGAGGGGCTCTTAGGTCGTCGGGCCGCTCCTTCGATCGAGGTCGTCGCACCTGCTCGCGGCCGATGCTCACCGTGCCCAGAAGAGCCCCTTGGTTCCCAATCTGGCAATCCCTGTGGCAGCGCGGCGCCTGTACAGGCGCATCCTGCCTCCCCACCCTTCTCTCTCCTGCCAGTCCCTCCCGCCTCCCACTTCCGCCGCCCTCCTCAAGAAGAGAAGACTGCAGTCACGTAAACATACACTTCCGGCGGCAGCCCTGGCCTCTGAGCGCGCCGGAGAGGGGGGGGCCAGAACAGATCCAAGAAACCTGCGCGGAACTCCGAACATGTACGTACGTGCGTTCGCTGTTGACTCGACCTCCCTCTCATCATGATGATCCGTCTCGCCGCTTTGCTTCGACAATCGTCCTGGCCCCTGACCCGTGCCGCCCAAGTGCCACTCCTTCGCTGTCGGCCACGTGTCAAGCCCACTGCCGTTCACCTTCGGCGAGGGGCAAGAGGTAGGCGAGAGGCCTGAGAAAAGCACGATGAGACGAAGAGGCCATGTGAGCTGGAGGGAAGGATGACGAGGGAGCGAGGGGGCGAGGCATTGGGATGAGGGAAGGGCGTGCGTGGTATCGGGGGGTACTGTTGATCCACGTGGCGTGCATGTGTGTCTGTGTTTGTTCGTACTTCGGCTGATGCATCGGCCAACGCCTCCTGCCATGCCCTCCCTTTCGCACTAGCCTGCTAACAGAAACCGTTGACACCCCGACCTGTCAACTAGAATCCTGGCAAAACCACAACGAAAAAAACGACCGAGCATGTCTTGGGAAAAGACAACATGCCCGTACCGCTACAGCTGCGCTGGATCTCTCCTGGGAAGCGTTCTGACCTTAATTCCGACGCAAATCCAGCTGTGGCGACGAAAACCGCCCAAACCAGCCAAAACATGTCGCTGAAGGGAAGGTGCTCGTGCTTGCCGTCGCCTGCTCCTCCTCCTGATTCTCCTCCACTATCTTTCTCGTCCGCATCCCTCCTAGGCCCCTGCTCCCCTTCGGCTCAGGGGAGAACCATAGAGCTTGAATCGGCGATACATCGCCGACAAATCGGCAATAGGCTCCCGAGTTCAGATCCGGACATACCTGGGCGAGGTGGGTCAGTCGGGCAAGTATCGGCGATGACAGAGGCGATCGGGAGACGATGTATCCCCCCTGAACCGTTCCCCCCCGCCCATCGCTCGGAAGAAGTTGGTAGAAGCATGGAGTAGGAACGTGTGGGAAATTGATTGAGCTTCGGCCCACCCCCTAAAAAGGAGGGAAGAGGGACAACCGTCAGAGGCAGATTGGGATCCGGGACTCCCCTGACCTCCTCCTGCTTGCTTGGGCCCAGGCGCTCTTCTGGGCAACCGCTCACCTGGGCACTGGCTGGTGGGTGGGCGCAGTTTTTGCCTGCTCGTCCCCCGATCCCCGGCGGGACGGCTCCACCACCACCACTCCCCCTTGCTGCTGTTCATAGCGGTCATGGTGATCCTGTGGCCATGCAGACGTGTGTTGCCACCTCCCCGCGGCTAAGCCCTGCGGGGAGGTGGGGGCGCATTAGGGAAAAGGTGAGAAGCAAGATGTATGAAACGAGGTAACATAATGACCCAGTTAGGAGTGGAGAAGTGGGGCGCCTGAACAGAACAGCCAGGGTGGTAAGGGCCTCACCGATAACCACTCCCCCTTCATCGCCCTCCTCGCCCCTCCTCCAGACCACGACGTCACGAATGTCCTATAATATCCATGCCGTCTCGGACCCGAGTCCCCGGCGGCTCAGCCAGGCCGCAACCCGTGCCGACGGCCTGCCAGGCAGGCAAGCCCTCCTCGACCTCCTCCTCCTCCTCCTCCTCCTCCTCCTCCTCCTCCTCCCTTTCCTCCCTTTCCTCCTCCTCCTCCTCCTGCTCCTCCTGCTCCTCCTCATCTGCCTCCTCCTCCTCCTCCTCGTCCTCCTCCTCCTCCTCCTCCTCCTCCTCCTCCTCCTCCTCCTCCCCCTTCTCTTCTTTCTCCTCCTCCTCCTCCTCTTTCTCCTCCTCCGCCTCCGCCTCCGCCTACTCTTCCACCTCCTCTTCCTTATTTTGTAAACGCTGCGCAGACATGGATCGGAAATCGTGACTTTCAAAACGTGCAAACAGAATTCGCCGACTCAGGCCAAGAGCCTACGAAATTAACCTGGCGGGCGCAGCTGAAACGAAACAGGCGAAGAATTGCGAAAAGGGTGCATGGGTCGACTGGCCATAAAGAATGCGTCCACCAGGCCACATGGGAAGGACAACATACCAGCACCTAAGCAACACAGACCAAGGAGGATACCGATCGAGGAGCGGTCGAAACTCGCGTGCAGTGAGAAAAAAAGCAGGTGACGCGAGGGGAGTATACATGCGATTTCAGTGCGAGCGTGTGGGCGTACAAAATGATAACGTTGGCCACGCCCTCCATTAGGGTCGCGCCTGGATGCGCGGCTTTCCCCTACCACCACAACAACATACTTCCCTATCCAGTAGTCAGCACAGCAAGTCTGGCTAGACAAGCTCAACCTATCTGGACTTAATCTTAAGCGAATGGAACAACTTGCGAGGACTACAAAGAAACGGCTGACACTGGAACAAGCTGGCCTGTATATTTTAAGAGCACGGAAGGTGCGACTGCAGACTGCCGTGAAGTTTGCGTTGGCTCGAAGGTGGCTGTGTCGCTGAAGAGCATGGACAGCAAAATAGAATGAGCTGGCCACGCCCTCTGCTAAAGTTCGAGCCCGTGGGTCCGTGAGTCAGTGGGGACACGCCCTGTAAGCCAGGGGGTCTCACAATGAAAAAATGAAGTGCACATCTTGGTCGCATCTCCTCCCACCCACCTCAGCAGCCCCGCCCATCCGAAGACCCCACCACCACCTCAACTAAGCTCGTAAACTGTGCAATGAACAGTACTCAAGGACTGCCAACGTTGCGGCAACTCTTGGGCAGCTACCCAGGGATTTGAGGTCCACCCCAAGCCTCCAAGGCCACGGGACCCACTTGCTGTTTGTATTACCGTTTCGGGTTTAACACGAAACCTCGTTACCACTATGGCAATGTCAAACTGGGAGTAAGAGGCTGGCGGGGCTAGGTCTTGCACGAGCGAGAGAAGGCAGGCGGATATCACTAAAAGCGAAAGTGAGGCTGCGGTTTGCCACTGTTTGCCTAGACATACGAAGGCTGGCCATGCGTAGTGGCCGCATTTTGGGATAGTTTGCTGCTTGAGGCAGTCGCGTCAAATCCCCCTCCTTCGCTCGTAACCCTGGCCTCCCCCATCCAGTAGTCAGCACAACACTTCTGGCTAGACGGGCTTAAATGATCTGAAATTCACCTTGAACGAGTGGGGTACTGCGTGCGAGTACTGCAATAAGGGCGGCTAATACTGTAACAAGCGGGCCTGCCTGTTTTATCAAGAGAGCAGAGCATGCGACTATGGAAGCAGTGAATGGCCGAGTGGTGGCAGGACGTAACATAGCAGGCACCTGTGACGCTTCAGCTCTGGAAGCAGAGCGGAACGAGCTGGCCACGCCATCTGCTAGAGTCGCGCCTGTGGGTCCGTGGACGAGTGGGGCCACGCCCTGCAGGCCAGGGGCTCCGAAATGACGAGGCACGTTGCAGCTCCTCCACGCCCCCGCCCGCCCCCCCGCCTCCCCTATGATCCCCATCAGCCCGCCCAGTGCACAGCACATGGCTGAAACCGTGGGCCGCGAAGGCCAGGCGCCCGAATCAAGACGGCCGCGTGCGACCTCGCGAAGCGGCCCGGCAGGAAGCAGCAGCGACGACCGAGGAGAAAAGGGGCGGGCAGGGGAGGCAGCAGGCGGAGGCACGCGAACGCCCAACCCCGTGCACCCGCAAGCGGGCACGCGGCAGCTCACCGCACAACAACCAACGGCGGGGCACGGCCGTTGGGGGCGGAGGAGGGGCCAACGGCCAACAGTAAGAACGGGACAAGGCAAGGTCAGACGGAGAGACGGGGCGGACCGAGACGGCAGGACGCAGGGGGCGAACGCAGTAGGAGCCGACGGTGAGCTGCGAATCGAGCTTCAGTACTGCAGTGTAGGGTAGTGTGCAGAATGAGCTGTAGATGGGAGACCACAATGGGAAATAACTTCCCCTCGCGCCGGTCAAAAACGCATGGACAACAAACTCCCCCTCCACCCACCCGGTGAATGCTCTCTCTATGAGACGGCATTCCTTGGTGAGCAAAGAAAGGACTGCATTGCGCAAGAAAGAAAGGCAAACAGAAGTCCTCGCTTTGCGGTAATGGATGTTCTGAAAACCATAGTTGTGGAAGGAGTCAAATTCCGTTGATAATAGCTGCTGAGTGTCCAAAAAAACCAAGGGGGGACCTTGGTGACGATGTATTTTGTCTCGGTGTCGGGCGCTCTGCCCCACGTACTTCGTGCCGACGGTAGTTCCTTATCGAAGGACATGTCCATGTCGTCATGTCTGATGCTGTGTTATGCAACGTGCACTGTTGGCTTCTTCCTGGCGCGTGCCTCATAGGCTCCCGTTCCAGGTGTGAAGCGGGCAATTGTCGTTGTAGGGAGATGCGACGTCGCTATGTAGTATCGGGCCGTATAGTGTGTAGTTGTCTGCCCCTATAGCCTCTCCCTGATGTGTGCCCTTGCAGGCTCCCTTGCCAAACACAAGGCGGGTGGCATAAACAAACGTACTATGCAAATGAACATCCCCTGTATTGGCTGGCCATTGGGGCTCCCGTGCCAGGAACGAATCGGGCTGCCGATCCACGAGGCAATGCGGATGAGGTCTGAAGTCGGCGGCGCCCTTGTCGGTATTGCTGATGGGTGCGCTGGGTGCTGTGAGCAGGTCGTGTTGCTGCTGTGGCGTACTGCTGCGTCCGTGCATGTCCAGGTCCCGCCATGTGCCAACTATGTAAATGGGCACGGTGCAATATCCCAAACAAACCAATGGACAGTCTACAATTCAAACAGAAGTCGCCTGACCAACAACGATGGCACGAAACACTCTCTATATGCGACGAAATAGATATGCTATACTATGATGTGGTATGTATGGTCAACTGTCCTGTATCATGTACGATAGTGGCAACCGGTAGGCGATAGCCACTATTAGCTTCCAGTCAAAACAGAACCAGCATCAGCGTGTGCCACTAGCTTCATGTAAATAAAACGTCCCATGTCGTAATCAATGTGGTCAATCAGTTGACCTGAAAAAGTGAATAATGAAACAATGACCTGTCGAGTATTCTGCCCACCTGCCTTGCTGCTTCTTCCTGAGGTATGCCCTCGGCGGCCCACCTGCCATTGCCAGGTATGAAGCAAGCTTATGGTATAGACCAGCTATAAATCGCTTGATGCAAACATATCGGTGTGCCACGCTTGCCCTTGTAGTAGGGGCTATCATGCCAGATCCGACGCGGGCGAGAATAGGGAGACGTCCTGTCCTTATGGTAATGGGCATGTAGCTGTGCTGGTGTTGCCCCTCTGCTTCTCCCTGAGGTATGCTCGTCGGGGCTCCCGTTTCAGGTATTAAGCGGGCAGAAGTCTTGGATGCGTGGCTTGAGGACATTTGGGCTGCAGTCGTAGTATATGAGTTTCGTGAGCCTTGCTGGTTGGCGGTGTACTGAAGTTCTGCGTCGTGATGCTAGTGCGTCGTAGTGCTGCTTGGTGCTTGTATATCAACGGTATCAAGCCCAGCAGTTGTGTCTACTGTCATTCGAGCACAGAAAAAACATATAATAAGGATTGAGGGCTTTGTCTGCCCTTCGCACGCAATGACAATCAGCAACTGTATGTAGGAGCATAAAGTGTCTGTATCCGGACGAGCACAGAATAACAACGTGTGCACAAGAACTGATACGCCTATCTTGTGTTTGCAAATTGGTCGGCGCTAGCCTCTGATAACTATCGGCGGAGCATCTGCAGTCAGCGCATAGAATCTGAGACATGCAACTGCGTAGGTTGGTCTGCTACAAAATTTGCCGACGATGCCCTGATAACAATGCCATTGCCTCGGTGCTGAAATGTACGGCTCGTACGTGCCCCAGGGCTTCTCCCTGAGGTAAAATCTCGATGGGCTCCCATTATCCTCCTCCTCCTCGCTCCCTGCTTCCCTCTTCGGCCCCACGCCATTCCTCCTCCCCTCCTCCTCCTCCTCCTCCGCCCTCCTCACTCCTGTCTCCTCCTCCTCTCCCCCTCTAAGAAGAGACTAGGACAAGACTCCTGCTCCTCCCTGCTTCCTCGACTCCACTCTTCTATCTATTTCAAAACTCAAATCACATAATGGACGTCCGGCTGCCTACTTCAAGCGTGAATTCCCCCACCTCGACCGCTGCATGTAGAGCAACCGATTCAGCCGTGAAGGAAACACATCGAATTACTGATGCGAAGATCCTGCTATCACGATCGGGATCGTCACTGCGTAGCCCCCCTTGCGCACAACCGCCTCGATGCACCAAGCGCATGCTGAGCACCCCCTTCCTCCTTCCCTCCTCCTCCTCCACCCTCCTCGCTCCTCCTCACCCTCTAAGACGAAGTCAGGCAGGGGCAACATCGGAAACAAGTGCATCGGAAACCTCTGCGATCCCGCGGTTCTGGAGATGCATCGGGCGCACCAGCCTTCTCAGAGCATTCCAGGACGCTCTGGAACGATTTATCTCTGTCCCAGCCTCGCCCAGCCTTCTCTCCTCCTCCACCATCCTCACTCCTCTCTCCTCATCCTCGTCCCCTCTCCTCACTTCTCCTTCGTTCTCCATCCCCCCTTCCGCACTTCCCTCTCCCTCCCTCTGCCCTGCGCCTGACCCTCCGCCTGCCGGGAGGCGTCGCTGGAAACACCAGAACGCGGAACTTGAACTCAGTGCCGTCCGTGGCTAGGAGCAGCGGGGCCTCAGGGTCCTCCCGATCGGGGGGGAGGTCGACCGACCACCTCGGCAGGCCAATGTCCCTGTGGCACAAACAGCCAGGGAGGGAGCGGAGCGAGGGGGGGGACAAGGAGGAAGAGTGCGAGGAGGGGAGCAGGAGGGACGTAGGGGGAAGGATCAGGAGGATGACTATAGCGGAAGGACAAGAGATGCGGGAAGGAGGCACAAGTTGGGTGACGAAGACAGCGTGGGGAAAGATGGAGGGGGAGGCAGAGGCCGAGGAGGCAGCAGAGGAGGATGGCGGAGAGAATGATAAGGCGGAGGCGGAGAAGGAGGAAGCGAGAACCAAGAACAGGGTGGGGCGGCAGAGGCGGAAAGGGAAGCGGGAGGAGGAAGAGGAGAGGGAGGGAGACAATTGCAGGGAGGAGGGGGGAAGAGGAGGGGATGAGGAAGGGGAAGGGGGAGGCATAGAACAGGAGAGGGGAAAGGAGGCGGAGGTGAAGGAAGAGAGAGCGGAGAAGAGGATGATTGGGAAGAATGATGAGGAAGAGGGAGAACTGGGGGAGAAGGTGGCGGATGCGGAATGGGGAGAAGGATTGGGATATTGAATGAAACACAATGCGCAAAAACTCTGCTGTCATCCACCAAGTAATCCCTAAACCCCTCTTCATAATCATGGTTTCCATTACGTGGGGACGCTACCTTCCAAGAAGAGCGTTCCGAAAGCCTGGCATTCAAGCGGCACCGCTTTGACCATGACTCACGCTTCGTCCTTCAAAATGTACGGAATGCAAGCGTTCAAGAACATAGAACTCGTATCTATATCACGTGATAACTCAAACTTGAAAAAACACCGCCATCAATCAATGGAACGTTGGGCAATGCAAAATCCCTACTTCATACGTTCAGGAATGTAACATGCGAAAACTCAGGAGTTGAAACGGATCCACGATCCATCCACGCAACAAGTGTTGATGAATCAATGTTGTGCCAGATCCGCCACCGTGGAGGAAGGCGCTCAGTAGAGTGCCATCGGGCCCTTTCGAGTTCCCTGTGCCAGATAAACGAAAAAATAACCTAACCAATCCAAACCCCAATTCACTGATCGCGTGGGGCGTTCCGCGTGACTTATGGGGCCCGTCGCATGGCTTCCCCAAGAGGCTAGGCACCGCCAAAACTGGCCAGCAAGGTCTGAGGACTGCCCCAAGACTGTCTAAGATGGTCTCGAGGCAGCCCACGAAACGTGAAACACGATGAAGGCGACGCAAGGGCGCGTAATAGCCGAAGGATGATGGGGAACAACTTTCGGGGGAGAGAGGATGCATGAGGGGTAAACGAAACTTGTGGAGAGAGGCGAGATGTTGGAGAAAGGATGAGGGCCGAAGGATCCAGATGGAGGGAATAGGCAGCAAGGGGAGGGAATAACTGGGGGAGTGAGTGATGGACGGCGGAGGAGGGGGACGAACAGGGATAAGGCACGGAAGAAACAAGCAGGACGGAAGAGGAATGTGATGGATACTGAGGAGTACACTGCGAACACTGACGCTAACCATACTACTGATACTGGTACTGGTGTTCCTGCGGCCGCGACTGCGACTATCGCTGCTGTTTACTGGTGTTGTCACTATCGCCGATGCCGCTGGTGATGCCGCTGTTGTCGCTATGACTACTCTTACTGCAAGCAATCAGTCGACACTGATACTGCGCCTGTAGGCGCACCCCGCTGTGATAACGACTAAAACTATTACACTCATGCAACTCGGCATGGTACTTCCCACTCGCGTACATCGTATCGCCGCGAAACGGCCCCGACGCATTCAGCTGCTGCGCCCAAGGACAACCCACACCGGGATGGCAATGCACCAGTCCTTCTCTTGCCGTGCAGAGTCAAACTGGGCGTCGCGAAAGCATGCATAATGGTCGCATGAAAGTGTCCGAGACTTCGTATCCACACGAACCTGCCTCTACTGCAGTCTGGCCATGCGTGTAGCCTCGTGCGGCATCAATGCATGATCCCACTGGGAAACAACACCTACATCGATACACCTCCAATCCCCTCAAAATGTGCACGGAGCAACTTCGCAACACTCGACGCCACAAAGGAATGGATGACCGATGGATGCTTCTGCTGCTACGTGTGTCGTTGTCCTCCTCCTTCTCCTCCCTCCTCCACCACCCCTGCGGACAACACTGGAATGCGCATGCAATGCATTTGTTCCGTGGCATGGGCGCCGTCCGCGAAGGCTTGACAACCAGGGCCAATCAAAGAGTTACTGTTCATGTGGGGGCCCGCCTGGCTGTCTCAAGCCGCTCTCGTGGCTTGCGCTCCTGGCCGCCTCCCCATGTGCACCTCCTGTCCGCCGCCTCTCGTCGCCCTCTCTGGCAAGGGAGGCGGGCTAACACGTGTTGCCCATGCCGCTTGATGTGGAGGCCTTGCCGCCTGAGGTCCGCTGGATCTATCCTGTAAATGCGGGTGTGAGCAACGCTCCCGTGGCTGCGTGTGTTGTCTTGAATTCTGTGGGTATGCCATAATCACCAGGGATCGAACGAACCAACCTCCAATTCCCTGAATCAAGGGAGCCTGAAACCACAAAACAGCATTTGGGGCAAATGGCGACGATCCCGTGCTTACACAAACCACGAGGAGATACTAGAACTTCTAGACCGCAGGGGATGCCGCGGAACCCAGGAAGGTCAGGACGGTGGAACGCTTCGAGAAGACCCCAGGCTAAGGTGATTCATACCACACTCTGAGAAATCACGATGCCATGCTACCCTCTCAAATGTCTTACACCTGCTGTGGCAAGCCACTGATTCACCAAGGCTCGACGCAAACGTATACCTGAACCTGCCCTGGCTCAGCGGGCTGCTGTGCTGCATGCCGAATTTTTGTGCGCACACACACACACTAGAACTAGTCGTGCGGGCGCGCTCCGCGCGCGCCCTGTGCTCCAGGTAGCAATAGTCCAGGATGACAAACAGTTAAAAACATGGGGGAACGATTAAACACAGAGCTTCTTCTATATGATTGCTCAACGGGATGAGGACGATAGGAAAATGTCTATTACACGTCGGATTCGAATATTGCGTCGCATACTCATCTCACGTCGTCGTCAAAGTTTACGTCAAATAATCTTTCGACGTCGACCTCAAATTTTACGTCAAATACCAATACCAAATCCTCCTCCGGGGCGCCGCCGACGAAACACGACCCCGGGTCATCTATCCATCGTCAGCCTACATTACGCGTTGCGTGTAATCGCAATGGCCTTGTCAGAAGCAGCCGCCATCAAAAACAAGCAAGAATAAGCCCAGACCTCGGCATCGCTCGGACGTCCATTTCCCATGCATGTCTCGGTTTCGTGCGTGTTCTTGTTTGCTCGATGGTCCAGGAGGGTCCTCGATGGTTCTCGCCGAGAAACAACGCACACGTCCGAGCGATGCCAAGTTGTCAGCAGCAGCCGCCATCTAAAGCAACCACGAAGAAGCCCAGACTCTCGCACGCGGCCAGCCAGCGCTCAGGCTTCCACTGCCGACCCCCCTTGCCTCCCTCGCTCGCTCCTTCTCGCCGATGTCCTCCGGGCTGGGGTGGTCCTGGTGGACTCCATTACGAAGGGGCCCTGGGACACACAAATAAGTACACACAAATAAAAGGAGTCCCTCTATTTTGCAATATTTTCTGGGTTTTTGTCCTCCCCCCCACTGCCCATATTTTCCTATATTTTCTGGGGAATCGACGATTAATTGTGCCTGTGTGTTTGTGTTCCCCCCTGACATTAGCGAGACTGGTTGCACATTGTGTGCTTTCTCTTGGGGCCCTGTTGGCATTCTTGGGGGCTCTTGGGGGCAAATTGGGGGCGCTCTGGCTGCGTCTTGGGGGTCGTTGGGGGGAGTACCCTCGGGTTCTCGCTTCGGTTTCCCACCCGACCCTGACCCGCCTGCTGCAAGGTCCCTCCCGACCCTGACACGCTCCGTGGGGTCCGCCAATTCCCATGCTTGGAAGCCCGCCCGCTCGCTCTGACGTCCCGACCGCCCGTCCCGCCCGGCAGGGTCCGCTGAACCGATCCGCCCGTCAGGTTCCGCGCGCCCAGCACGGTTACGTTCCCCTGCCTGGGTGTACCTGGTAGCTGTCACGCCCCCTCCCCCCCCGGGTCGACGACGGAGGTCTGCGGTATACATCCTGAAGCACACGCGAAGACTGGAGGTCGAACGATCTAAAACTAGCAACTGTTCTTGATACTGTCGTCGCCCTCCCGCCCCGCTCCGCGACCCATTCCGCGACCCACCCGGGACCCGGGCCCGCGACCCGAGTGTGCTTTGATTGTCTCTACCTCTACCCCTCGGACGTCGACCTCGTCACGTCCCTCCGCACGCAGCACTCGAGGATGGTGCTTCTGACGCGCCGTTGACGGCAACACCACTTCGCTCTCCCTCTGGGACTTCGCCTCCGGCTCCTGTCCAAGGCGTACCGTTTCCTGTGCAAGCTCTTCGGCACCACCTGCACCCCGCACCCTCCGGCCGCCTGAGGCCCCGCCCGCCCGCGCCCTGTCTCCCCAATTAATGCGTTGCGCGCCCCGCCTAGCTCTGAACCGGAAGAGGCCCGCTCGCGACCCGCAGACCAAAAAAGTGTTTTGATTGTCGCACTTGAGCCGAGCGTCGTTGCCACTGCAGCGCGCGATTGCACGTACATTGCATGAGCAGCTGCAGGTGTGCATTCATGCTTGCATACTGCAGGTGTGCATGTGCACCTATCGCGTGAATTTGTTCAACGAACCTTCGCTACCGAGGCTCGAAGCTAGAGACCACTGGCAACATCCTGGAGCCGGGCGGGAAACAAAACCGAGCAATCTCTGGCTTCATAGTGCTGCCCGCGACCCACCCTACGACGAAGCCAGGACGAGAAGAAAGCCAGGTGAGGATAATTCGGGAATCTCTGAGGTCTGGTGGCTCTGGAGGATGCCTCGGGCGCCGCGGCCTTCTCCGAGCGTTCCAGAACGCTCTGAGAGCGTGCCAGAACGCTCTGGAACGGATTGATCCTCGTCCTAGCCCTGCCCGACATCCATACTGAATTGAGAGAATCGCCGCCTGCGACGGGCTGGGCGCGTTGAAAAAGTTGGCGCCCCTGACAGGCCTCTCTACATTGGCTCCCGAGCCCCGCGACCCGCCGACGCCCGAACCTGCGACACACCCACGCGTTTTGCAGAAAGTGGGCGCCTGCGGCGGACGGATGGCATCATACCAAGCTCGGCGCCTGTAGCACGGCAGCCCAGGAGCCCTCATTACTCGTATCCCCGAGTGCGCCGTCTCAACTCAGTTACGGCGGTTTCCCTCGTCCTCTTCCTGAGGAAGATGGGGAATAACAGCCAACTGCGGTGAACGGCCCCAAAACGGCTCCCGTGAGGCCTCCAAACGGCCCCCAAAAATCTCCCGGAAGGCCCCCTGCGACATCCCAACGAACATCTTAGAGGCTTATGACCCACAACCCAGGCACGGTGGCAGAATCGGCCGAAGGCCATTTGATCCGCCGCGCCCTGTCGATTCATCGCAAGTGCCTCGCGTGCTAGATCCTTTTTCCAAAAGAACCCCCCCAGGGATTCGACCCGTCCCGCCGGCCACCCGGAAGGCCCGCAATTCTCCCAATGTTTCGCTCAAGCTGGCCCAAGATGGTCTCCAAGATGGCCACGTTTGCCCAGGATGGCCTCCAAGATGGTCCAAGATGACCTCCAAGTCCGCCCAAGATGGTCCAAGACGGCCTCCCATACGGCCGAAGAGAGTCCAAGACGGCCGAAGACGGCCCAAGAGGCCCCCCAAGAGGTCCATCAGGAGGGCCCGAAGAGGCCAAAATCATTGCCTTTCCTTAGGTGTTTGAAGGATGTTCGCATTTGCTTCTTCTCGGCTTTCCGACGACCCAAGACGGCCCAGGAGGCCCCCAAGATCGCCCCCACAGCGCCCAAGAGGCCTCCAAGATGGCCTCAGGACTGCCCAAGAGGCCCCCAGGACGGCCCCAAGAGGGCACCAAGACGACCCAATAGGCCTCCAGGACGCCCAAGATGGCCTCTAAGACGGCCCTGGAACACCCCCAGACACGCCCCCCAAAAGGCTTCCGACGGCGCCAGACGGGCCAGGAGCCCACCAAGATGGCCGAAGTTGGCTCGACCCAAGAGGCCTCCAAGAGGGCCTCCAGGAAAGCCCGAAAAGGCCCCAAACGCTGATTTTCATTGGTGTTCGAAGGATGTTCGAAGGATGTTCGGCCTTCCGACGGCCCGATACGGCCCAAGAGCCCCCAAAAATCGCCCAAGGATCGCCCAAGAGGCCTCCAAGATGGCCCCAGAACGACCCAAGAGGCCCCCAAGACGGCCCCCAAGAGGCCCCCAAGACGGCCCCAGGAGGACTTTAAGACGCCTAAGATGGCCTCCAAGACGGCCCTGGCGCATTCCAAGAGGGCCCCAAGTCGGCTCAGAGAGGCCCCCAAACGGCGTCCGACGGCGTCGGACGGGCCAAGGGCCCACCAAGACGGCCGAACATTGCACTAAGATGGCCCAAGAGGCCTCAGAGAGGGCCTCCAGGAAGGCCCGAAAAGGCCAAAATCATTGATGTCCCATGAGTTGTTGAAAGATTGTGGCATTTGCTTTTTGTCGGCCTTCAGACGGCCCCAAGAGGCCCCCACGACGGCTGAAGAGGCCTCCAAGACGCTCAAGATGGCCTCCAAGACGGCCCAAGAGCCCTCCAAGACGTCTTCCAAGAAGGCCCAAAAGGGTCAAAATGGCCTCCAGGCGGCCACGAGGACCTTCAAGATGCCCACGTGTTCCCCGAAGGCTTTCCAAACCGACTCGGGGAACACATGGCCCGATAGCTTGGCAGGTCTGGCCTTAACGTTCGGCCACATAGGTGCTTCCACAAAGGCAAAAAGCGGCGATCATTCGCCGTAGGCGTCTTCGATAACAGCCAGCTTAGAGGACAGAACTATGTGCAGAAAAGGGCACAGAACGACCGACCGTCGGCGCGGACCCCAATCACGAGAAAGGAGGAGGAGGAGGAGGAGAGAAATCATCGCTGGAACTCAGCCGATAGCATGTTGCATCCTCGGGGGCCCTTGTCTGTCCCGCCGCGCCGCTATCAGCGTCCCATACGCATCGGGCCCATGTCGGCCTCGTCAAATCCACGTCAAATCCGCGTCGCATCCAGAACTTGCGTCGGACCTGCATCGCATCCGCGTCGAGCATACGTCGAGCACCAGCAGAGGACGGTAATTACAGGACAGACCAGAGCCACCGAAAATGCAACGCTTGAGCAGGAGATCGACTACAAAATCGATGTACCCCAGCATTGAACTCTGCGTCGGGTGAAGGACAAAATGCTTACATTCATTGCGGATACACGACCATTCTGCATACCTGCCGTCGGAGGCGCGCGGCGCGCGGCGCGAGCCCGCCCCGAAGGCGCAACCGCGGGCGGCGTGGGGGGGGCCTGCGCGCCGTCGGCCGCCGTTGCCCGGGATGCCCCCGCGCTCCCCTCGGCGCCGTCGTGCTCCTCCGCGCCCTCAGCCGCCGCCGGCGCGTCCTCCGCGGCGACGAGAGGCTCCTCTGAGAGTATCGCTGATCCGATCCCTGTCCACACTGGCAGGGCCTTCCTTGTTGAGAAGAGAGGAGGGAGCACGACCACAGAGCTGTTCACACGACCCGGCCTCGACCGCTGTGCGAATCAAAAGGTCGCCAGGCAAACCCGGGATCCCACTGGCATGGCCTTGGCCCCACTGGGCGACACACCAGCCTGGGTAGGGATATAGGATCCAGGGCTCCGCCCCCCCCGCCCTCATGCTGACGACTTCGGTTCCTCCCCCCCCTCGCGATGGGTTCACCCCCTGTGGTCGTCGCCCTGTGGGCGCGGCGTGGTGGGGGGGGTCGGTATGGGGTGGTGCTGCGTCGTCGTCGTCGTCGTCGTCGTCGTCGTCGTCGTCGTCGTCGTCGTCGTCGTCGTCGTCATCGTCGTCGTCGTGGTCTTCGTCGTGGTCGTCGTCGTCATCGTCGTCAGTCGTCCGTCGTCAGTCGTCCGTCGTCGGTCGTCGGTCGTCTGTTGTCGTCCTTCGTCGTCGGTCGTCGGTCGTCCGTCGTCGTCCGTCGTCGTCGGACGTCGGTCGTCCGTCGTCGTCGGACGTCGGTCGTCCGTCGTCGTCCGTCGTCCGTCCTCCGCCGTCGTCGTCGTCGTCGTTGTCGTCGTCCTCCCCACCCCATCACTCGGGGGGGTGCCTGTGGAACCCTGGGAACCATCCCATCTTGGGGGAAGGGGCTGTGAACCCTCGACGCGGGATCATACATGCCTGTTCCCTCTCGCTTCGCTCTGGCGGCCACCTGTAAGGGTGGGCTGGTGGAGCCGAGATACCATGGCACAGTGGAGATTGGAGACAGGTTAGACGGTGCTGATCCTCCGCCTCGAGGACCAGGGCCAGCTCGTCCGCGGAAGCGGTGCTGTGGCCGCCGTCGCCTGGGGACGGGCGAGGGTGCGGCAGGGCCCCGTCCGTTCCCTCCGACGTCGCGCAGACTCCGATCGGACGACGATGCTCGCAGCGTCTGGGCGGCATGGAAGAAGAGACGGCCGATTCGGGCGATGTGGCCTCAGCGCGGTTGCAAACAGGTGCGGGTCGAAGACTGGCACAGGGGGTGGCAATGGCTACACGGACGGAGGGTGGGCCAGAGAGACAACAGGGAGACAAAAGACGTTTCGCGCCGCAGCGCCGTGCACACTCGTCACCAAAGCTTCCAACAACTACGAGCATTAGAGGGCGGGTGGAGATCAAAGGGCGTTTTCCACCTTTCAAAACCGCGGACACTCGTCCAACAAAAACTCCAGCAATTCCAACTCTGAGGACCATCCGTTCCAAGCAAGCGATTCTCGCATTAACGCTGGGCTTGTTTTAAAAGAGTCCAGAGAATGAAGGGCCAATTCTTCCCAACAAAGTGGACTGCGCTCTGAGCCTTCTGCCTGAGCCTTCTTCAGATCTTACCGGCGATGCTACAAACTTGCGCCACAGTCATACATGTGGAGAGCAGCTCTTGCCCAAAAGAAGAATTCTGCAATCTAACAAAATCAATTGAGGGGCAACGTTATAAAGGGGGACGAACTCCGGTGGGGGAGAAGCATCGACCCGGACTCGGCGATGCACCGCCGACAGAACGGCGATAGGCCCGATAGGCCCCCGGTGGCGAACCCCCATGTTCCTGGGCTGGGTCAGCTCTCGGCGATCCGTGGGCGGCGAGTGGGGATCGAAACTCTCCCCCATGACTTGGTCCCCTCTTCCCTTTGGACGCCCGAAATGGGCACGGAAAGAATGTGTACAATGCCCAACAACAAATGCTGTTCCAAACCAACAGCGGCCGCAGTTGGGCAGGCGGCCCTCTGCCTCGAATGGGCACAGGCCGCGGCGGCGTGGACAGCGAATCCGGTCCAAAATGAACAGGAACTGCTGTTGGGCATTGTACCCATTCTTTCCGTGCCCATTTCTCGGGGATGGACAGACCTCCCTTTAGTAAAACGTGGTTTAGTGAAAACGACTTCGGGCCCAAACCTGGCGGGCGCAAGCCTGGAAAATAACGGCCACGGCGCCCTCTCGAAAACCGAAAACGGACAATTCACTAATCGACGTGTCACTGTTGGGGGTTCTGTCCACCCCCGAATTTCGTTCGTGCAGATTCCCCCTCCTCCCAAACCCGCTCCACATCGGTCCCATCACCCCTCCCAGCATCCGTCACGCCGTGGCTCCCCGACGGCCCCGCGGCCCGAGGCGGGCACCGCGGGGCCGACCTCCCGCGCTTGACCTGCCCGTGCTGGGCCCCCCCCTGCCTGCCCTCTCCCATGCTCCCCCGTGATCTGGCCCCCTCCTCCCCCCCTCCCCCCTCCTTGCCGTCGCTCGGACGTCCATCTCCCGTGTCTTTCTCGGTCTCGCGCGCGTGTTTTTGTTGGCTCGAGGGTCCAGGATGGTCCTCGATATGGTTCTCGCCGAGAAAACATGCACCACACGTCCGAGCGATGCCGAGCCTCCTCCCAAACCCGCTCCACATCTGTCCCAGCAGCCCTTCCAGAGCTCGTCACGGTGGTGGACCTCCACCGGCGCCCGGGCCAGAGCCGGGCACCCCGAGGGGCCGAACTCCGGCGCGCGCCCTGCTCGTGCTGGCCCCCGCACTCAGAAAGGTCGCCCTCGCGGGCCTCTCACGAGGGGGTGTGTTCCGTCCAGAGCTCCGAAGGGCGTCCAGCCGCAGTGACGAGAAGGCCACACGCTGGCGGCGTGCACAAGGGAGCGGGCGAGAGGGTAGGATAGCAAAGTGCAGGGTGGATAATGAGCTCACGCAGCTGGCTCCCCGGCGCCTCCAAGCGAGGGGAGGCGCCCACGTACCGAGGAATGGGCCCAGCGGCGGGGCCGAAACCAGCTACACGCAGCACATTTCGTAACACCCCCTGTCTTGGAGGCGCGCACAAGGGGGTAGAGGGAGTGGGGAAGGGTTCTTCGGTTGAGGCAGCTTCTAAGAAGGTGCTGGTCCTACATCTGGTAGAGAAGGCCGACGCCTACTAAGAAGCAGGGGTACTTCTAAGAAGCCTTCCTCCCTCCCCTTTCGCACAACAGAACAGCGGCAATCGTCCTGGCACCTTGATTCCTCGGAGCTGTAGCTCAACAGGGCGCTGGTAGAAGTGCCCCCAGCCCAAGTTGAGCCCAAGATTTCCAAGGAGGCCCCTCGGCATCCAGAGCACCCCTCACGAGGCCCACGAGGCCAAGGGGCTCCTAAATGGAGGGAAAAGCAGAGGGTTGGGCCAGGGGCCAGGGTCACCTTTTGGAGCCCCCGAACCTCGCTTCGCACATCGCACCCCGCTCCCCACGATTACCTTCGCGCCATCGCGACCTCGAACCGGCCTCCCTGGAGGAGGCAATTGCTCTGGCCCAGACCGCGGCGCGACCAACGTCGGGCCCGCGCGGGTGATCCGCAAGAGGACAAGGAACCAGACCGCACCCGAGCCTGCGCCGGATCGGGCTGCATCGGCACGGAGTCGAGATCGAACGGGACCTGCTGCGCGAGGATGCACAGCAACGCCGTGCAAACATCGGGCCGCACCGCATCGTCGGCATCTCGGCATCGAGCCGGATCGGGCCCGCCGCACTCGATACCGAACCGACTCGGACCGATCGCATCGACGTGGACGCGGAGCCAGGCCACGGGCCGCGGACCTTCCAACGGCTCCCCGCATCGCCCGCACGGGCTGCGGCCTGCCGCAGGGGCTCCAGCAAGCGGGGCAAGCACATCTGTCCCGCCCTCCTCCCTCTCTCCTCCTCCCCCTCCTCCTCCCTCCCTCTCCCTCCTCCTCTCTTCTCTCATCTCTCCTCCCTCTCTCCTCTCTCCTCTCCTCCTCCCTCTCTCCTCCTCCCTCTCCTGGATGGGGGCGCGCCTGGGTGGAGCAGCTCCTCCGCAACCGAGGGCCGCCCGGCGCCGCCCGGCGCCCCGCCCGGCGCGCCCCGGGCAGCCACCGCGAGCGCCGCCAGGACCGCGACGACCGCCGCAGAAGCCACTGGGAGGGGCAGGCGGGGAGGTGCCGTGGAGAGGAGGGGAAGCGAGGAGGAGGAGGAGGAGGACGAGGAGTGCAGGGCAGGTTTTAATACATGGCATTTGAAAAAAATCGGATTGTAATGCATGATTAATTTATGGATGCATTGATGCATGAGCTAGCCGCTGTTGTTTGATGCTAACTCCCTGCGTTTGAATACATGATCCGCACGCGGAGCATGTATTAAAAACGGCACTGTAGGAGGAAGAGAAAAGAATGGAAGGAGAAAAAGCGAGGGAGCGGGGGGGATGATGATGGTGATGGTGGTGATGCTGATGGTGATGATACAACTGAAGATGATAATGATGGTGATGGTGTTGATGATGGCGATGATGTTGAAGATGGCGTTGATGACGATGGTGATGATGATGGGTGATGTTGGTGATGAGTCTGCGCGGATAATGATGATGATGGTGATGATGATGAAACGGGATATGATGAGGATTGTGGTGGTGAAGATGCAAGTGGTGATGCGGATAACGATGATGATGGTGCGGGATAGGACACCGATACGAATGATGTTGATGGAGATGCTGATGATGGCGACGGTGGCAGTGTCGATGATGATTCTGATCTTAATGAGGACGATGCGAATGATGCCGATGTTGCTGATGATAATGATGTTTCTGCTGACGATGGTGGTGATGGGGATGATGGTGCGGCGGATGATGATGATGATGCGATTGCTTCTGGACGTCAGGACCAAACTGGAGGCTGCACAAGTTTGACAAATGGTGTGGTCCGTCGCAGAGAGCCTGGGTTCTCAAGATACCCCGCGCGGGGCCACGTCTGGCGGGCGCTGGCACAAGGGGTGCTGCGCTACGCTGCCTCGGACGGCGGAGCGAGGACCGCTATCCGCGCAAGAATGCGGAGGCCGCGTCCTCAGCGGCCGTGCCATTAGAATGCTCATCGATGGAGGCCCCCTCGAGTTGACTAAAGCTGCCCTTAGCCTGCGCTGGCAAAGCCTGAGGCGCAAGAACGGAGGCCGATGGGGGCACGCGCGATGCTGATGGTGCCGCCGCTGGCAGGGGGAGGCGCGCCGCCTCGAGCGCGGCGAGGCCCGGTGGCGGAGCTGGCGACCCGATCTCCTTCAGGCGTTGCTTGTCCGTCGGGCCGCTGCTCCTGCGCGGCTCGTCGGGCGGCTCTTGCAGCCCTCGAGCTCGAGAGGTGGCGTCGATGGCGGGGCGCTTGCTGCTCGCCGCGCACGCGTCGACGTCGACGCCCCCGTCGGGGCGGGTCGCGCGCGAGGTCTGCAGGAGCAACCTCGGGAACGACCGCAGGAGGGCCAGCAAATTCTTGTCTTTGCTGATCCAGGTCGTCTCGCCGCGGCCCCCGCGCCTCGCCCTGCGGCCGCCTCGCCGCCCCTTCTTGCGCGGCCCCCGCGCGCCCTCTGTCCCGCCCTCGTCCGCCGCGGGCGGCTGCGCTCCAGCGGGCGCGGGCCTGGTCTGCCCCGCCCGCTCGCGGCTGCGGCGGGCGGGCGAAGCGGGGCATCGCTGCTGCTGACGCTCCGTCATCTGGCCTGGATGCGCCCCCAGGCGCTCCTGAGCCCCGTGGGGAGACCAAAGGGATGCGCCAGTCCGCCCGCGGGCGCGGGGGCGGTGCCTTCCTCGACCCCGCCGCCGCCTGGCCAACCGTGGTCTGGAGACGGAGGCGGCGGCGCGGTAGGCGCCGCCGTTGCGAACTTTGTCTCCAGGGTCGCTGGCGATGCCGATGTCGCCCCTGCTGGATGCGCGCTGCGCTTGGCACTGCATTCGCGGCGGCATCCGCGGCGCTGCAATCTCATGGCCAAGGGTGAGGTCTGACGATTGTCTGTGCGCAGCTCGAATGCCAGGTGCGCCCTCAATCCACCGAGGCCGCCGAAAAGGAAAGTGGCGAGGAACGCGGGGCGGAGGAGGCGGCGCGGTGCCCCGACCTTGTCGGACGCGCCTCGGCCCTGACGACGCTTGGCTTGAGCGGCGAACCCAATGGCGACGGTGTGAGATGCACAGGTAGGTGGGCTCGTAGTCGGTGCTGGTCATGGTACTCATGATGGCATGCTTGGTCTAAATCATTTTCACACAGTGGGCATGTAGCACATGTAAATGATGCCCATGGTTATGCAGGATGGGCAGGTCCGGCATGCGCCTGACTGCCTGCAACGATAGTCGCATGCGTCGTGCTGCATGTGCTCCGTTAGGACACGTCGTTTGACAGGCGGTGTATTCATTGTTGAGTGAACCTAGCAACGATGGCAGTCCATGGCCCGTCGCCCCCGATGCAGTTTGACGTGTGACCATCTGCTATTTTTGCCCCGAAGCGTTACCCGCAAGGCTCGATATAACATGCGAACGGCCAATTAACCTCGTCGTCGCTATCGGCCCCGTCGAGGGGCTCCGCCGAGGGAAGGGGGCAGGCGAGCTGAATTGGTTCCTGGAGAGCTCACTGAGACATCCAGGAGGAGAACTGGCGAGCACGCGCATCACAGTGCAGAAAAGCGCCTCGCACGCATGCGTCCCCCGAGAGATTTTCTACGACGCGCGGCTGCCATGTCTCCTGGAAATTCTCGCCGATGGGTTGCGGGGCCAGGCGCGGGAGATCATCCGCAAGCTGCTCAACTCACGGGTGGGTGTTCGGGTCAGCCGAAAGAGCGCCTTGCGAGATGAAGGCGATTACTCATGACCGCCGGCTGCGCGAACCTGCGCCGCCCGGAACAGGTCGCAGGAAAATGGCAGCGGTGGGTTGGCGTGCTCGCGATGCCCTGCCACCGGCTCAACCTGCGCACGAGTATTTCTATTGCCGGAGCTGCAATCTGCCACTCTTTTCGCACCCGAAGGGTAGCGAGGGAATGATGAGTGTTCTCGTCGTCGCCTTGACGCGCGGCCCCCTTCATCACTGCTCGTAGCTTTCGCGCGATCGAGCTGTCTAGACGGCGATGCCCCCGCGGACTGCGCGCGCAGCTTTCTAACCTCGACAGGATGCGCCCCGAGACGTTGGAGAGGCACGACAGACGCTTGGCCTCCCAGGGACCCCCCGAAAACCAATAGTAGCCACGACAAATCCATCCTACTTTCCCAGACTGAACTCAAGCTTCAATTGTGCGACGATTGCCATTGGCGGCGTGTACATATCCCCCATGATGCATTAGATTCTGAGCGGCGCCCCCAGATGTCGTGTTCTAGTTGCGTTTTGGCCCCGCGGGTTCCCGAAGATATCAGCGCGCCCTGCCCACCTGCGTTCTGGGCTTAGCCACCGACGCCCAGGGCCTGGGAGAGCATGTCGTCAACGATGGCATCTAACTGGAGAGCCTGCAGGGCCGAGACGTCGGGCACCAGGATAACATGAAATAAACCGTCTATGAACGCGCAGGGGCGGGCGCCTCGCTGCTCGGCTGAGAACGGGCGCGCTACTTTGAACGAGCATACTTGTCTGAACAATTGGAGCGGGTTTCCTCGGGCGTACTTCGGCCGTGTCTGAGCGCCAGTTTGAAACCAGCGGGTAAAAAGAGCCCATGAACAACTCAGGTTCGTTGGATTCCCCCATCCCCCCTCCTGCCCCTGGCCGAAGGGCGAGGCTGGCATCTGGGGCCTCGATGCGCGCTGCAGCGCCGGCGCGATGCTGCTCGGGAAGGGGGTGAAAGCGTTCGCCGTCGCATCGAACAATGTGCAGCCATGGGCCTCTGGCGGCAGCCTGTCGCGAAAGCGTCGCGCATGTCGCATTACTTGGCCAAACAAATCAACGCGCATTTCCCAGTTTCCATATCATCAGCTTGGCCGCCAGCAACAGTGATTCGCGCCGGCGGGAATAGATGCCCCCGCGGGCCCGCGACGGCTGCGGGCACGGCGCCCCGCGCCGAACGAGGCCGGCGGAGATACAGCGGCCAGAAGAGACCCAAACAATGTAGCAGTCGAACGCGTGCGCGAATATACAGGACAGCGTTACCCGTAAGGCACTTTCCCCACTTGCCAATCGCGACGGCGTGGCCGGCGAAGGCCTGCGCCAGAGGGGGCTTGCACCGACGCGCGTGGGCCAGCAAGTTGATCGCGGCCTGAGCGACGAGACAGAATAAGACTGATCCAAAATGACACTGATCCAAGTTCAGCTTGCGCTTGCGAGGCCAGCGCAGGCGCCTGGCAGGAGGGCCCGCCCATTGGCAGTCGGCGCGGGCAATTCCCAGCCCCGCCCGTTGGCGGCGTGGCCCCGCGAGGCACTGCGGGCTCAAGAACGTGATCGTGATCTCGGAACGAGCGTGGTCCACCGCCGCTTTACAATGGAAAATTGCCGCCCTTTTCCTCCGGAATCCGCCCCCCCCCCCCCTCCGAAAATCCCCCCCCCTGCTGGAACCCCCCCCCCCCTCCCCCCCCGGCAAACCCCCCCCCCCCTAACCCCCCCCCCCCTCGAACTCGAAAACCGGGGGGGGCCACTGCCAGTTCGAACCCCCCCACCCTCGAAAACCTGAGGGTGGGGTCGCTACCGGTTCGGGGCCCCTCCCCACCCCCCCCTCGCCGCCAGCGAACGACTCCCGGCCCCTACCACCGTCCTCACCACATCCCCCACTGTTGTTCCCAGCACCACTGTCCTCACCACCACTGTCCCCGCTGGCTCCACCACCGCCCCTACTGTCCCCACCAGTGCCACCACCACTGTCGCGCTGCCCCCACTGTCCCCGCCACTGTTCCCACCGCGGTTCCACCTTCCCAGCTTTCTCCACGACTATCCCCACTGTCCCCACTGTCCCACTGACTCCTCCGCTGTCCCACTGAGCTGTCCCGCTGTCCCCACCACTGCCCCCACTGCCCCCGCCACTGTCCCCGCTGTACCTCTGTCCCATTGTCCCACCGCCGTCCTCGCCACCGCCATCACCACTGTCCCCACCACCACTGCACCCTCCTCTGTCCAACTGTTTCCACCACATTCCCACTGTCCCCGCGCCGCTGTCCCCACCACCACCGTCCCCACCACTGTCCCACTGTCCCCACTGTCCCCAC